TAAGAGTTGTATTGATAAATAGTAAGTATATGTTTAGCTGTTTAGGAAAATTCCAATGAGTTTTCCAGAGTGGTTGTCTCATTTTATATTGTTCCATTTATCTGGCTCCATATCCTTTTCAATACTTGGTATTGTCAGTCCTTTTAATTCTAAACATTATAGTGGGGTATAGTGATATCTTATTGTGGTTTTAATTTACAGTTCATTGGTGATTAATGATCTTGAGCTGCCTTTGTGAGCTTCTTTTACTCATTAATAATTTACATGATTTAGAGTGTTTGTGTAAATGTTTTATAATTTGAAAACATTATTATTGTATATTTGAAGTATAACATTTCTGAATTTGGGGTACTGGTCCTTTTGTAACACTAAAAATATTTTCTTTCATAGAGTGACTTGCCTATTTTGTTAACAATAATTTGTAAGGAACAAAAGTTTAATTTTCATAAATACCAATGTATCAAATTACTCTTTTATGATTTTTCTGGTATCTTATCTAAGAAATCTTTGCCTATCCCAAGGTGACATAGTTTTGTGCTTATTTTTTTTTTTTTTTTAAGTTTTATGATTTTTACTTTTCTTTTTAGACTTGTATCCATTTTGAGTTTTGTTTTGTCTTTTTAATGGTCTAAGTAGGTGGCAGGGCTCATTTATTCCCCATCGCATTGTTTCGGCACCTTTTTCAAAAGTCAAATCATTGTATAAACATATCTATTTCTGGTCTCTATTCTGTTTCGTTAGTATAGTGATCTATTCTTATACCACTGGTACTCGTAGTGGGGAACCTGGGTCAACGGCATCAGCATTACTAGAAACTTTTAGAAATGCAAATACTCCACTCCTATTGAGAAACTCTGGGGTGGTCTCTGGCAATCTGTGTTTAATTTTAAAGACCTCTAGGTGATCCTTACACATATCAAAGTTCATGAGCCTCTGTCTATGCCAGTACCACATACCCAAGTCTTGTAAGCCATCCAGTTTTGTTCTTTTTTAGATTGCTTTGGGTAGTCTTAAGTCTTTTACAATCCTCTATAAATTTTAGAATCAGCTTACCAATTTATATTTTTAAAGTCTGCTCTTACTGTAATTGAGATTGTGTTAGATAAATTTGAGGATAATTGAAATTGTAAACATACAATTTCAAGTGTATGTTTTCTCTTTCTCTGTAGATCTTTCAGTTGTGTCTCTCAGTTGTTTGTGTACTACTTCTTCTGTAAAATTTATTCTAATTTTTTTTATATTTTGAAGCTGCTCTAAATGTTTAAAGTTCAGTTTGCAATGTTTGCTGCTAGTGTAAAAAAAATATTGGTTTTTATATTTTAAGTTTTGATTATATGCTCTTCCCGAATGTATTAGTTCTTTTGTAGATTATATAATCTGCCAACAGACACTTAATTCTTCCTTTCTGATTTTTATTGTCTTATATTTCTCTTCCTTGGTTGAAGCGATTAGGGCCTTCAGTGCAACGCTGAATAGACATGGATAAGCTGTTTTCCTTGCTTTACTCCTGATTAGTAAGTCAATAGTAAGACTAACGTTTACCGTAGACTTTTTATCTTACCTTAATTTATTCCTTCTCTAGTACTCTTCCTTTCACTAAGAACATCTGAGTTTCTAACCTATATAATTTTCCTTCTCTGAATTATTCTCCATGTCATTTGCATTCTCACCAGCAACGTATGAAAGTTCTAGTTGGTCAGTGTCTTCACCATTACTTGCTATTATCAGGTTTAATTTGCCTTTCTTTGATGACTAATGATGCTGAGCACTTTTCATGTGCTTATTTACCATCTGTATCTTTTATTGGGGAAAATGATTTTTTTTTTTACTTTTAAAGATGTAGGGTAGGCAACCCCCTCGGGTCCCCTCCCACTGTGGGAGCTTTTCTGTCTTAATAAATCCTGCTTTCTCAAAACCAAAAATAAGATGTAGGATACAATTCAGGATTAGGTCTACAAGTACATTCAGATTGTTGTGTAACCATTACCACCACCCAGCTAGAAAACTCTTTTCATTTTACAACTTTGAAACTCTATACTCACTGAACAGTAACTCCCCACACCTCTCTTCCTCCAATTCTAGGCATCCACCATTGTACTTTCTGTCACTATAAACATGAATGCTCAATAGGATCATTCAGTATTTGCTTTTTTATGACTGGCTTATTTATAGCCACCCCTGATCTTCTTTTCCATCCTTTCCCTTTTAACCAATATGTGTCTCTAGGTCTCAAGAGAACCTCTTGTAGACAGCATATAGTTGGAATTTTTTTTTTTTTTTATGAGTTGGAATCTCACTCTGTCACCCAGACTGGAGTGCAGTGGCCGCTCCTGGCCACTGCAGCCTCGACCTGCTGGGCTCCGGCGATCCTTCTGCCTCAGCCTTCCGAGTAGCCAGAATTACAGGCATGTGCTACCACGCCTGGCTGATTTTTTTTATTTATTGTATAGATGAGGTCTCGCCAAGTTGCCCAGGTGAGTCTAAAACCCGCGGACTCAGGCAATCCTCTCACCTCAGCCCCCCAAAGCACGGGATTACAGGCTGAGCCACCGACCCCAGCTAATTGGAAAATTTTTATGTACCATTCTGCTAATCTCTGTTTTCTGATTGGAGAGTTTAATCCATTTATATTCAAGGTAATTACTGATATAAAGGGACTTGTATCATTTTGCTATTTATTTTCTATATGCCTTAGGCATTTTTTATCCTTCATTTCCTATATTATTCTCTTCTTTTGTGCTCAATTCACTTTTTTTTCAGTGAAATGTTTTAGTTACTTTCTCATTTTCCTTTAGTTACCATGGAGATACATTTACCATCCCAATGTTATGACACTCTAATTCAAATTGATAGCAGTTTAACTTGAATGACATACAAAAACTGCTCATTTATAGTGCTATAACCACATTCTTTTAGTAGTTGATGTTATACAATTGCATCTTTATACATTGTGTCCCCCAAAAATGAATAACTTTTTATTGCATTAACCTCTTAAATTATGTAGAAAACAAAATGCAGAATTACTAACCAAAGTTGAAATAATGCTAGCATTTTTTAAAAACTGAGATAACTACTTTACAAAACTTCACGTTACTGTCTAGTGTTCTTTTATTTCAACCTGAAGGACTTTTTTTACTGTTTCTTGCAGGACAGTTCTAGTGGTAATGAACTCTCTTAACTTTTCTTTATCTGAAATGTCTTCATTTCTCTGTTTTGTTTTTTTTGAGTTAGAGTCTCACTCTGTTGCCCAGACTGGAGTGCAGTGGCACACTCCTGGCCCCCGCAGCCTCGACCTACTGGGCTCCGGCGATCCTTCCGCCTCAGCCTTCCAAGAAGCTGGAACTACAGGCACGCGCTACCATGCCCGGCTAATTTTTGATTTTTATTGTAGAGATGAGGTCTCGCCAAGTTGCCCAGGTGGGTCTCGAACCCGCAGGCTCAGGCAAGCCACTCACCTCGGCCTCCCAAAGCGCAGGATTACAGGCTGAGCCACCGAACCTGGCCTCTCTGTATTTTTTTTAAGAGACAAGGTCTCACTCTCTTGCCCAGGTTGGAGTACAGTGGCACGCTCATAGCTCACTGCTTCCTCAAACTCCTGGGCTCTGGTGATTCTCCAACCTTAGCCCCCTGAGTATCTGAGACTACAAGTGCCTGTCACCACACCTAACTGATTAAAAAAGAAATTGTTTTTGTAGAGACATGGCTGTGCTGCGTTGTCCAGGTTGGTCTCAAATTTCTGGGCCCAAGTGATCCTTCCACCTTTCCTTCCCAAAGTGCTATGATTATAGGCATGAGCCATCACCCCCAACTTCTCCATATGTTTGAAGGATGAGTTTGTTAAATAGGATTCTTGGTGGACAGGTGTTTTTTGTTTTTGTTTTTGTTTTCTTATGACTCTTTGAATATATTAGTCCACTGCCTTCTGACTTTCAAAGTTTTTGAAGAGATTTCTGCTTATCATCTTATTGAGGATCCCTTTTATGTGATGAGTTAGTTGCTTCTCTCTTGCTACTTTCAAGTATCTCTCTTTGTGTTAGCTTTCAACAGTTTGATTATAATGTATCTTGGAGTGGGCCTCTCTAAGTCCATCTTTTTTTTTTTTTTTTTTTTTTTTGAGTTGGAGTCTCACTCTGTTGCCCAGACTGGAGTGCAGTGGCCACTCCCAGCCACCGCAGCCTAGACCTGCTGGGCTCTGGCGATCCTTCCGCCTCAGCCTCTAAGTCCATCTTAATTGCAGTTTGTTAAGCTTCTGGGGTATTTATATTCATGTCTTCTATCAAATTTGGGACATTTTTGGCATTTCTTCTAATCTCTCTGTTCCTTTCTCCTTTCCTTCTGAAATTTCCATAGTACATATGTTGTTATGCTTGATGGTGTCCTTTCTTTGGGGAAAATTTCTGTTGGTTTATTTTTTTTCCCTTTGAATGGGCCATACTTTCCTGTTTCTTTATGTGTTCTGTGATTTTTTTGTTGAAAACCACATATTTTAGTCCAATAATGAACAGGAAATCGGATTCTCACCTTTTTCAGAATCTGTACCGCCAAAATTGAAAACAGAAACTAGAAATCAAATATCCGAGTTTTGGAGGACAGCATCCTTATGCCCCACCCTGGCTCCCTTAAGCTGCCTGCAAACTGCTCCAGGAACACATGTATGGTTGCTGACCTCAGGACTAGGGGATGGGTAGCTGCTTTGAGCTGAAATTAACCAAAATTCACCACAAATTACCATCCATGTCTTTCCCCAGAAGCTAAACCTTTTAATATACTCCAGAGTTCCAAAATGGTCACATCAGATTCTGCCAGTGTGATTTTTGACTAGGTGGGGTGACAGGTTTCTAGTGTTTCCTACTCTGCCATCTTCCTAAAACCCTCTGTCATTATAACTTTATTTTAGAATTCTTTATGTCATTTCTAATAGATGAGTTTTCAGTTTTCTCTTATTGTACCATATTACTTCTTCTGATCAAGGAACAAAATGTTTTTCTTATTTCTTTTAGATTTGGAGTCAAGGTATGAAATAATCCACTATGGAAAGATGTATGTTTATAATAAACATTCATCTCTTAGTCTACATCAGAGAATTCAATATGGAGAGAAACCCTATGAATGTAAGGAATGTGGGAAGGCCTTTAGTCGTCATACAGAACTTCGAGTCCATCAAGTAATTCATACTGGTGAGAAACCCTATGAATGTCAGGAATGTGGGAAAGCATTTAGTCGTGTTACAGACCTTCGAGTCCATAAAGTAATTCATACTGGTGAGAAACCCTATCAATGTGAAGAGTGTGGGACCACTTTTAGTCGTCTTACAGACCTTAGAGTACATCATAGAATTCATACTGGTGAGAAACCCTATGAATGTGAAGAATGTGGGAAGGCCTTTAGCCGTGTCTCAAACCTTGCTCAACATGAAAGAGTTCATACCGGTGAGAAATCCTATATGTGTCATGACTGTGGGAAGGCCTTTAGTGAAGTTGGAGGACTTAGAATACATCAGAGAATTCATACTGGTGAAAAACCCTATGAATGTAAAGAATGTGGGAAGGCTTTCAGTCAAGCCTCAAACCTTATACAACATGACAGAATTCATACTGGTGAAAAACCCTACGAATGTAAAAAATGTGGGAAGGCCTTTAGTCATACCTCACATCTTGTTAGACATGAGAGAATTCATACTGGTGAGAAACCCCATGAATGTAAAGAGTGTGGGAAAGCTTTTAGGAGTAGTCATCAACTTACTATACATTACAGATTTCATACTGGTGAGAAACCCTATGAATGTAAGGAATGTGGGAAGGCATTTAGTGTGTACGGACGACTTACCCGGCATGAGAGTATTCACAGTGGTGAGAAACCCTTTCAATGTAACAAATGCCGGAAGTCCTTTAGACTCAGGTCAAGTCTGAAAGTACATCAGAGTATTCATACTGGTGAGAAACCCTTTGAGTGTGACAAATGTGGGAAGTCTTTTAGACTTAGTTCAATCCTAAAAGTACATCAGAGAATTCATACCAGTGAGAGAATTTATGGCATATATATATAATAGACAATGTACAGTACATGAATGAATTTATACCACTGAGAAACAATTTGAGCAAAGAGAATGTGAGAAGGCTTTTACATGTGGTTCATTCAATTTTTATAAGACATCAGATCATTTATACTGGTATGAACGCTTTGGAATATAAAAATTTAAAGTCTTTTAGTTATGACCTAGTTGTTCAGATTGAGAGAACTTGTATTTTATATAACAAAGTATTTTATAGTATTCCTGTATGTTTCACTCTTCACTGGGTGGCCAGACAGCAGCCAAGATCAAAAGGCCAAAAAGTGCCATCCAGAGAAGAGACCAGTATATGGCTTGAGGTTGTGAAAGACGGACAACAAGCACACCAGGCTCAAGTGGTACAGCTTTTACTTAAAGCAAGAGAGAAAACAGAGTGCACAAGATTATGCCCCTTGCAATATGTCAGTCAACTGCACACATTTATAGGACCTCAACCTCAACATGGGGTCTGACATACAGAATGAGGGGGGACCATTGACATGTGCTTCAGCAGAGCAAAGGAGTGCACAGTGAGTCTGAAACAGGGAAATATAGTCCCACACAAGTTGATAAATCCAGTACAGGCTGCAAGGGCTATTTAATCTCATGGAGGGGAAACATTCCAGGCCTACAGTCCAATCTTTTTTTTTTTTTTAATGTGGAATGCTTCACGAATTTGCATGTCCAATCTTATGTGGCCATGTGGGGGCTGTAAGACTGTATGCACAAGACTGTCTTTCCCAACACTATGTATTATCAGATATTTATACAAAAAAAAACCTGAAGAGACTATACGAAACCCTTGTTTCTTTATGTTTTAGGCATAAAATCTTTCCAGCACAAATCAATTATTATTAAACTTGAGTAAATTTATGGCACAGAAAATCTCTGCTAATCTAACAGACATGGGAGACCCTTTAGCTTCTATATGTGTCTTAACAATCCTGATTGTCTTTTCACTCCTTATGGCTCATTTGTATATGGTGATAATAATACCTACATTATGGAGCTGTTACTAGAATTAAATCAGTTCATTTATGTGGAAAACTTGGAAAGTATCTGACATGTATTTTATGTTCAATAAATATTAGCTGCTATTTCTAGTATCATTATTTGTGTTATTACTAGAAGACTATTATAAGATAAAGACCTTATAGGTTTAATGAATTTAGGAAAGTTTTATGTAACTTCTTACCTCTTTTTGAATTTGAACTGTTTCTTACTGAACAACTCTGATAGAATGTAAAAACCCCAAGAGCATCTTCAGTCACATCTCTTAAGGTGAATCAAACAATCCTTTAGAATATGTGAAAATTTGTAAATCAGCCAGTAATTTACATTCCACAGCTACAATTCAATGTTGATTAGAAATTAACCAAAAAATAGTCATTTTGCAAATTTTCTCAAATTTATGAAAAACTGAAAACATAGATAAGTTAAAATAACAGCATAAGAAATATCTGTTAATAATAGTCTTGTGAGCTTTCTGTTTTGTGTGTATTTTACTATATAATTTGACAGTGTTAGAAATATGATGCTTCCATCTTACATATATGTCAATGCATCCTCTTAAAAAAAAAAGAGAAATTCCTACTTACCCAAAGTGCCATATAATGAACATATAAGGAACATAATAATTTCAAATTCTAGTATCTAATCCATATTCAGATTTTTAAAGATGTACAAGGAATGTCTTTTATACGTATCTTCAAACTAGTTTCTATTCTAGATTTGTGCATTTGGTTATTATAACACTTTAATCTGTTAATTTACAGCAATGACTGGGAAACTATGGCCTGCAGGCTTTATTGCAACCTGACACTGGATTTTGTAAAATTTTATTGCAATATTGTTATACTACTTTGTTTACATGTGGTCTGCACCTTTTTTCTTATGTATTTTGGAGAGTTTTTGTTTGATTATTTGAGTCATTGTCTTGTCATATTGCCTTGACTGGCCTCCAACTTCTGGACTCAAGTGATCCTCCTGCCTCAGCCTCCCCAGTAACTGGGACTACAGATGTGAACCACTGCAAACAGGTTATTTTTGTAAGACAAGGTCTTTTTTTGTCCAGGCTGGTCTCGAACTCCTGGCCTCAAGTGATCCTCCCACTTAGACCTCCCAAAGTGCTGGTATTATAAGCATAAACCACTAAGACTGACCTGAAACTGTTGTTTTCAACAAAGTTGTGTCATTGGTCTACAAGATCACTAGGGCTCAATGATTTTGTTGGAAGGATTCATGGGATTTAGAAGAGTTGCCATACTCAAGATTATGATGTAATTACAGTGAAGGGTACAGATTAAAATGAGCAAAGGAAGAAGGACATGGACAAAGTCCGGGAGAAACCAGGCACAAACTTCCAGGTTTCCCTTCCCATTAGAATCGCATGGGGACAGCACTTAATTCTTCCAACAATGATATTTGACAACATGTGCCAAATAAGGAATCTCATCTAAACCTTGGTGTCCATGGTGACTATGTGACTAAACTTTAACTACTGAATTTAACTGCTCAGTTTACAACCTCCCAGAATTCGAGCTTGCATACCATGGTTGAGAGCCTTAGGCACACAAAATAACCATTCACCATAAGTTGCATTTTTACACTGATACAACATTTGAAGTCAAGGACTCAGATTATTTCCCAGGGGCCAGTGAAAATACAGGCCATTTGTTAGAATGTACAGGACTGGAGCACTGTGGACCTGCTGAGTTAACCCTTTGCTGCACAGTTAGGCAGTATTGAGCAAATTTTTATTCCAGAAGACCCGATTACTTAAATATAAAGTATCCATGTAATAAATGATAGGTAGAGAAAATATACTGAAGACATGGAAAATATTTCAGAAATACTACTGGTAGAAAAAAAATCAAGTTACAAAACCACATTTGCAATATGATTCTATTTGTAAAATATATGCATAATTCAAAATAGAATTACAGACCATTAAAACTAATTAGACTGAAAACAATCTCTATAATACACCCATATATTAACAGTGTTTATCCTTTTGTTTTCATTTTCATGGAGTCTTTTGAGTGTATATAAAATAATTTTTAGTGTAGTTACCATGCCTTACTTGAAACATACACTAGGGTGCCCAAAAAATGTATACACATTTTAAGAAAGGAAAAACTATTAAAATCATAATACTCAATATATACCAATGGTAAAAGATGAATACAAGTCACATCTCACTACTGAAGTTGCAAGAGGTGCTCAAAATGGTTACCATCAGCATCCAGACACTCCTGACTACAGCAAACTAAAAGTAATACATAGGTAACATCTCTTAAAATGTGTATACATTTTTGGGGTCTCCCCAGTATATATATGAACTTTGTTTTATGGGGAAGCTATTCTCCAACAAGTAAATTCATCTTTAAAAACCATCTCTACTTGGTCTTAGAGAAATATAGTAAGTTCAGACTGTTTTGTTTAACTGGTTGTATTTCCTTTAGTTTCCCTGAACTTAAATTCCAAGATTCCTGTGTGTGTTCGTGCATATTGGATTTCTGTCCAAAAAAAGCGAATAGCATCCCTGAGTAGAGTTTGATGTGTATTGATGCTAGTCTCCTAACTACATCCTTTTCTGTCTCTTTTTTTTTTTTTTTTTTAAGTTGGAGTCTCACTCTGTTGCCCAGACTGGAGTGCAGTGGCATACTTCCAGGCACCGCAGCCTTGATCTGATAGGCTCCGGCAATCCTTCCACCTCAGCCTTCCAAGTAGCCGGAACTACAGGTGCATGCTACCAGGCCCGGCTAATTTTTGATTTATTGTAGAGACAAGGTCTCGCCAAGTTGCCCGGGCAGGTCTCGAACCCACGGGCTCCCAAAGTGCTGGGATTACAGGCTGAGCCACTGGGCTCAGCCCTTTTCTGTCTTCTTTACAAAACTATTTCCCACCCTCTTAGTCATGATGCTCTCTGGAGAACTACACAATTATGTTATCCCATTAGTCTCACTTTGCATCCAATATCATTAAAATAAAAATGTGTGGTTAAAGTGTACAGCATAAATTCCTTTTCTTCACCACAGGCTCACTAGTTGAGTATAATTTAATCATAATCAAATAGTGGTAATGCCAAAATGACATCAGTACCCTATAAAATCCCAAGTCACATCACCTGAATTTTGGTAGTGGTCTTTAATACATTTATTTCTATTCAGAGTTTACCTTATTAGATTATAAAATACTTTGAGGTAGCAACCATGTCATTTTCGTCTTCTCAGATTCTATGATTACATGGTCTGTTACACTGTTGGCACTTAGTAAAGCTCTGATTATTTTAACTCAGATTCTACTTCTAGAAATTACCTTAAAGAAACACACTCATGTGTTGCTTAACAATGGGAATACATTCTGAGAAATGCATCATTAGGTGATGTTATCATGCAAATATCAGAAAAGTACTTAAATAACCCTAGATAGTATAACCTATTTCTCCTAGGTTACAAAACTGTATAGCATATTACTGTACTGAACACTTTAGGCAGCTGTAATACAATGGTGAAGTATTTGTGTATCTAAACACAGAAAAGGTAAGGTATAAAAAAATGTATTAAAAATTTTACCAGCCCAAACAACTTGGTGAGACTTCATCTCTACATTAAAATTTAAAAAATAATTAACCAGGCATGGTAGGGCACCTGTAGTTCTGGCTACTTGGAAGGCTGATGCAGAAGGATCACTGGAGTCCAGCACGTAGACGTTGGAGTGGCCGTGAGTGCGCCACTACATTCCAGCCTGGGCGAGGGAGTGAGACTTGGACTCAAAAAAAAAAAAATTTTTTTTAAGGGTACACCTGTGTAGGGTATTTACCATGAATGAAGGTTGAAGGACTGGAAGTTGCTCTGGGAAGTGGAAAAGGGGCGAGTTAATGTGAAGACTTAGGACATTTCTGTATGCTGCTGTAAACTTTATAAACACTGTACACTTAGGTTACACTAAATTTATATAATATTTTTCTTTAATAAATTAAACAGCCTACTGTA